TGATCACCATTATGGATGTGAAAAATGGACATCCATTTTTATCAATCAACTTTAACTTCAAAATTCTGCTCTGTTGGTGATTTTTTTAAAGACAAAAATAGATTGAAATGATCACTTTGTTATTAAAAAAAAAATTTTTTTTTGGAATATAAAAATTGCATTTGGAAAAAAATTTAATTATGAAATTATGAAGTTTGAAAAGTGAAGCCTGATATCAACAGAATATTCATCATTTACATAGTGTACTAACTATGACAATTAGCCCAATTACAAGTTCACCCACAGAGTGAACGTTGAACTGGTATGTCACATAGAAACCAAAAGAGCAGACAAATTGATAACTAAAGACTTTTATATTTAAGCCAAGTTTGGGTTTAAGCAAGACTACAAATGAGCAGGTTTGTATTCGTGTGTGCTATTTATGCTATTGATTTCCTAGAAATCATCTGGTTGTTTTTATAGGTGTCACAGAAATTGGGAATAAATCCCCCTTTGATGGGCAGGTTTTTGTTTAACAGCTTTATGTGATAATCTTTAAATCATGAGTCAGTTTTTGAAGTGTGGTTTAATAAGTGACAAGAAATATTTCAGGTCATGTTGTTTGAAAAAAACTTGAAATATATGCACCAAGTCATTAAGGATGAAAAATTTGAGTTTTTATTAACACTTAATTCTTTCAGATTTCACTTAAATTTTTATATATTTACATTTAAGAATAATCTTGTAATACTTCAGGTCTCAATCGCAAAAATATTAATGGAATTTACTTGGTATGTTATATGCAAAAAATGAAAAAATTCTCTCCTTAATGCAAATTTCCCCATTTTTGAAGTTTAAGGCTCTTCAAAATGATAAAATCCATACATTAATGCAAAATCTTTTATAAATCCATTACACCTTCAATCTTTTATTTTTGGAATTGTTATTGAAAATATAAGTGAAACCAAAAAATTTAGCATTAAGAAAAATTTATATACAGGACACAAATACTATGGAATGCCCCAGCATAGAGTATATGTACTACTTTGGGTCAATCAATCCAATATGAATATTTAACATGTTTTAAATATGTTGTTAAGTTAACTAGTAACAATATTTATTCAGTAAAATTCATCTTGAATAGCTATCAAAGTATTTATCAAATACAAACAATCAATGCACACACACACACGCACTTTAAAGCACATTGTATTTTACTTTGTTTTAAATCTTATAGATAGAAATAACGTTATTCAGCATAGAATGTACTACATAAATATGCATGCTACTTATTTATTCAGAAAATAGCCAATTTGTGCATAATAATCAGTCCTGTAAGAACATTAAGCACTGATTTAAAATGAATCAATTATTTGATGATTAGCCTAAGGTTCGTTTCAAGCTGTCTAGATAGCATGGTTATATTTAAATTCTGCATAAATTGAAGTAACAGAATATCTTTTTATATGTACACAAATTTCTTACAATTTTAGGTTGCACAATGTTTAAATCAGTAATTCACACAGTTTGACATATCATTTTATTAATTTACTTATTTAAATATTTATTATTAATTTTTATTATTATTATTAGTATTATTTTGCATTTAAAACAATTATGAAAGTGTGTTGTAAAGTAAAAAAGTACATAACATTAACTGTTTTAATAGCATTTAACAAAGACAAATATATGCTATTACGTATCCACTTTATTTCAATCTTTTCAAATGCTTAGAAAAACTATTACAAACTAACTTATTACTAGTACCCATGGTTTTATGATTTTATGTTTTAGGAGGCAGTTAAATTTATAAGATGATTGAATTTCCAGACATCTGATTTAATGTTTCAGGAGGCAATTAAATCTATAAGATGACAAAATTCAGAAGTATGTATTTTATTTTAGGAATAGAATTGGTTAAATCTATTAGATGATTGAATTTCCAGACGTCTGAATTGATGTTTTAGTAGGCATTTATATCTATAAGATGAAAATAATTTCAGCTGTCTGTATATATGCTTTAGGAATCCGATAATCTATAAGATAATCTATAAGATAACAAAACTTTCAAAAGTATGTATTCTTATGATTAAGGAATCAGTTAATTTAAATCTATAAGACGACTGAATTTCCAGATGTTTATATTAATGTTTTAGGAGGCAATTAAATCTTTAAGATGACAAAACATTAAGATGTCTGTATTAATGTTTTTAGAAATTGGTTTAATCAGAAAAATTTACAGAATCTGTATCTGTATTTATGTTTTAGGAAGCAGTTAAATCTATAAGATTATAGAATTTCCAGATGTTTATATAAATTTTTAGGGGGGTTTAAGCTAAAATTTATAAGATGATGCAAATTTTAACAAAATGGATTTAAGACTATGAAAAAAATAAAATTTACTATGATTTTTGGAACTCTACACTTAGGACTTGTGCTTATTTCTTCACTTATTGCTATATGTAAATAACATGAATATATGAAAGTTCATTATTATATTTTCAACAAAAACAAATGATGCGAAAAGTGAAACTTTCACAAATAACTGCATGACTCCATCGGGCTGGTTTTCCAACTCAAGCTGTATATCAGTCCTTTAAATCTTTTCCGTAACTTTTAGAAACATAAGTAACATGGTTTTCCATGGTGGCAGTACCCAAAATAGGGTTTTCTTCAGCTTTGATGCAATGTTACATAATCCTTAACAACACAATCACCACCATATACAATTTTGAATAATATACTAAAAGTATTATGGATATTCACAGAATGTAACTAGTAAAGGTCTTTAGGCCCAAGGAAGTTCAAACCCATACCTTGAAAATGCCAATATGTGAAAAATTAACATTTCACCAAATACTATAGAACTTTTTAAAAAATCTACCATGGTCACAGAAAAAATCTTTTAACTAAATATTCCCTGATCTGAAAAATTCTCTGCATGTGGCAGTGCTGTGTATTGTGCCCAGAATTGATGTCATTACTCAATTTGCTGACGTCTGGTAGAGTGTCAGTTACAAGAAGATTATTCTTCTATTTCATGATACAGATATAGCTGTAATTTAATTTGGGCTGAAGCAGGTGTTAAGAAGGCATTCCCTGTCAAATAATAATATCTTTAGTATCACTGTTACCTGATGTAAATGAGTAATGAAATATGTCCCTTATTATGTGTAATCAGATGGTTGTAAGATTTTCTGTCAGATTTGTTTCTTGACAGTCACGTAGCTGTTATCAAATTTGGTCTGAATTGTGTGTTAAGTAAGTAAATATGTACATATGTACCTAGACAATGAGAGGTGACAGCTGAATCACTGTCTCAGAACTTTACAAAACAAAGAAAAAAGAGAAATGAAACATGACATACTGTATATTATTATTAATAGAATCTAAGTGTAAACAACTTTGTTATTCGCAAAGATGTTTACAAATTCACAGGAATATATCGTTTTCATCATTCATACTCTGTGGTGGATAAATAATTGCTTTATTTATTTCATTAAAAAAACTAAACAAGACAGCATGAATTCACTGACAATAAGACTAGTGTAATATATATTAAGTGATCACAGCAATAAGGGGAAAAATCAATCAAAGAATCCATTATGACAATTTTGGCAAAAGCAAGATACTGGGAAGAAACTTTATCCTTAACTTGAAAATTATCTTGCTTGGAAACAGAGTATAGTAAGCTAGCTTGAGTCATACACAGTTCAATGCATGCAAAGAATTATGAAAATAACTTATTACCCTACCCTAATGCCTAATGGCTACTACATTCTGGAACCAAGACAAACTGGAAAATACTTACTACAAACATATAAGACTTAAAAGACCTAAAAAAAATAATAAAATAAAAACCACCCAGGGGTGACATTTGATAGAGTGCAATATTCATGTTTCAGTCACTCAACTGACTGGTAAACTTTTAAATCTTTAAGTTATTTAATCTGTTTTATTTATATAGTGGACATTATTCAATATTAAAATTTTTATTATTTAGGGATAGATCACCTGACTGTGTCTTCAAGTATGTATTTATCCAGTTCTACATGGGTCGCCAAACTATTTACTTCAATAACAAATCTACTTCAAAATTAACTTCCTCAGTTATGACATAGACGTTTAATAGCTCTGAAAACCAACATGTCAAAGTTAAAAATATCATGACTTCTTAATTCAAGACATTATGAATGGAAACAATTGCTACTGATATGCAAGAAATCTCACCTACCACAACCAGCCAAGGTCAATGAGTTAGCGGTTACTCTAAATCTCACCTACCACAACCAGCCAAGGTCAATATGTTAGCGGTTACTCGAAATCTCACCTACAACAACCAGCCAAGGTCAATGTGTTAGCGGTTACTCGAAATCTCACCTACAACAACCAGCCAAGGTCAATGTGTTAGCGGTTACTCTAAATCTCACCTACCACAACCAGCCAAGGTCAATGTGTTAGTGGTTACTCTAAATCTCACCTACCACAACCAGCCAAGGTCAATGTGGTAGGTGTGTTAATGGTTACTCTAAATTTAAGGTCTAATGACAAAAAAAAAATTACTTTATTTCACATCAAATTAACAGTAATCTAAGTTACTGAATATACAAGGAACTATATACAGACACATAAATTGTCTGCATATAAAATGATCAAAGATCAATATAAATCCCATGCTACTTAATTTGAATCCTGATTGAAAATGTACATAATAATAAATATGGTGAGTGCTTGTAAAAATGGTTTATACAGTATCCTCCCTATAACTGGGATGCATTTAGAGTGAAAAATTTGAGGTAGGCAGTGTTTAGTGGGGTGTACAGTACCAGCTACAGGGGGTCTGCCACTAGATGGCGTAGGAGCACTATCAGGCCCACTGAAATCTCTCATAATCTCAATGACAGTTACACATCATACTTAAACATGGATTAATATTAACACCCGTCACTGACAGTAAATTAACTAAATACAAATTATTTGAATATGGTTCCATGACAGCGAGAAGAAAAGGTGCAACCTACCTGGATTGTCAGTGAAGGACTCCCCCAGAACAGACAACTCAAACTTCAGTCCTTGCTCCTTCAATTGTAACACTGTGTTGAAGAAAAGTTCGGGGTCTTTGTCATGCTCCCACCTGTGTGCCCACACAATGTGGAGGGGCTGTCCCTTAACTCTGGGAAACCTCTGTAGAAAAATTTGACTGTTCCTTCTTTCTAATGGTGTACCTGAGGTTTCTGAGCCCTCTGACTTAAAGTGTTCCTCTGAGAGTTTTCTGGAAAAATGGCCGTCCTCATGCTTCTTCCTTTCATCTTCCTGTCTGTCACCATAGCCAGACGAGCTGGAATCTAGTTCAATATGGCTACCCGCCTGCCCAGGGCTATTTCCAAAATTGCTCTTACTATCACAGTCATGAGAAACATCAAGGATGCCTTGATCTACTCCTTTTTTCTTTATCAATTCATGTGAAACTCTTTCATCCAGCCCTGAATCCTCTACCACCACCACTGGCAACTTGAGAGGAAAGTAGAGCACAGTACATTTTGGTTCGATCTGCTTGGCAAGACCTTTAGGTTTGTAGTCAGGCAGCACATTGAGATATGTGTCTATGGACTGGAGGAAAGAATCCCTGTTGAACTTGGAATTGAAGACGATCTTGTCTGCAACAAGGCTGAAACACAGGGAGAAAGGTCAATGAAATAAATGATTTGGAAGAATGAAAAAATTAATTAATTAATTAATTAATTAAATGTAATTAACACTGAGGGTAGTACAGACCAATGCCAACACAGCTAAATTCTCATTAATATCAATTAATCACAACTGATCACTGCCAAAATCAAATAAATTCCAAGATAGCTGAGGTACATGTACATGTATATTTTGAAAATCTGTCCATAACTTTTATCTGACAAAACCAACATTTAGGTAAAAAAATATATATTAGGTCAAAACATATTCTCCTAAGCTGAGGTGATAAGTCGATACAGACAAAATATTTTGACTGGCATGACAGTCAAAATATCCACACCAGCTCTTATCGGGACAAATTTTGATAATATATCACAACAAAAAAACAAAACAAACAAAAAAACAAATAATAAATAAATAAATAAATTTATAAACAGACAAGTTGATAATGCATTTACATACCAGGATAAAATCTGATTATATCCAAACTGAAAATCTCTCTCCTTTTTCGCCTTCCTGACGGGGTACACCAGCTGGTTTTCATGGAAGTAGAGGATCTTCTGCAGCTTTCCCAGATCTGGCCTCAACGCAACTAACTCTGCAAGGTTGAGGACAGAACTGGCAAACAGAACTCTGAAAATACACGATTTTATTTTTATCTACTTATCAAAAAAAAAAAAAAATTGATGGCTTATATTAACAATCTATCCTTTCATTTAGAAAAGAAATAAGCTGGCTAAAGAAATTTGCCTACCTACCTGAAAAGGTAAGGTAGGGCACTTGCCTGCAGACCCCTCCCCCCACTCCTCTCACCCAACTTTCCAGGTTCACTATAGAGATTATCAATCCTTATAAGAATCTTACCTGTAACTCTCTCGTACAGGTATATTTTGAGAGAACCAGAGAGCAGCTACACGGGACCTCCAGTGCCACTTCTTAGCTGGCAGAGTGCACACTTGGCAGCCGTGGATATTCTCACTCAGAACATCCAAAAGCTGACGGTGAGAACCTCCATAGAATGGCTCAATCAGCAATGTGTTAGGATGGTCTCCTTGACTTAATGTGGACATTCTTCTGAGACACACAAACCTGGAATAGAAACGATGTGGATATTTAAAGTGTATTTCCATTGACTGCACTTTACCAGAGTTTGAGAATATGGTTAAGACCTTGCAACAGGCACACATGTACAGTTGTACTACTACATCATGTCCTCCCCCCCTCCCCCCCCCCCCCCATCTATTTATTTAATTGTCTACCTACTAGTTTGGTACCTGTATCATCACTACTGTAATTTGCTAATAGTTGTTGTATGTTATAACAATTCATAGGTTCAGTTTCAAATGACTGTACCTTTAATGTAATTTTTTTCAATATTTTTGCATTATTCCCCTCACTTTCCCATTTTATAAGGCCCCATTCCCAAAGATACCATTGGTCTACCCAGTACGTAGATTGATCCAATTCTGAAGGGACTCTCGCTGTGTGCAGTCACATGTACTGTGTATGGTAAGTACTGCAATGTAGGTACACGTGTGTGTGTGTGTGTGTGTGTGTGTATGTGTGTGAGGGGGGTAATGAAAAAGTGTAATTTTTCTACTTAAATGTTATTGAAATCATGAAGTCAATGAAGATTCAAGTATTTGAAAAACATTTTAAAGAAAAACATTAACTTCTAGCATATATACATGACTTGTATTTCTAATTTTAATATTTGATCTGCAGTTTCTGCACAACTTGCCTCAAACTTTAAAGTTTGAGGCAAGTAGTGCAGGAACTGCAGATCAAATGTCCTGCCTTGTTGGTAGCTTTTCAAATATATTATACAATAATGGGCTCTGTTTTGAACATAAATACACTGGTACTTGAAGTTCTACTAGAGGGTACAGATCGACTGTAGTACAGTAGTACTAGTAGTACGACAATGTAAACAACTGTACGATCGAGTAGATTACTGACGTTAGTATCTGTACCTCAGCGACAGTGGACAAATTGCAGTTGATATCCTTGCTAGCTGCATTGTCATGGGAACATCATTTTGCCTGTCCCGCTTGATCTAACAAACTATGCAATGGAAAGACAAAGGATTCTGTTTTAATTGATAGGGACAACTAGTTTGCAGTGTTTCCACATGTTGACTAGCCGCGCACTTCCTAGCGTTTCACTCATTCATTGGTTATAAGTATAACAAATAGGTCACGTTCCGTGGCCGAGTTAAGCCAGGGAGAAATACGTTTGCGCATGTACACATCCCGTCTCACGGTCTCAAAGTGTCGTCATACTCATACAGACATAATTAATGCTCAGAAAGTGTGGAAAGCACATTACCTGATGGATCTGTAGATTTTTTTCTTATTTTTTGAAACTTATACTAAAACATGATGGATTTTCTGTGAAACAGAAAAAAATGCAACATTGCACTTTGTGCCATTTCTCTTTTTTAATCGGGGTGATATGGGTAGGCCTATCTTAATTATTTTCTAAAAAAAAAAAAAAAGCATTGTCTATCCCAGTATTACAGTATTCCCCTGTCAGTGGAAAATAAAATGTAGGAGTACACAATGGCGACCATGAATTTGAGGTACATACTTGCAATAAGACATACAAAAATACAAGTAGCCTTATAATGATCGACCCTGTCAGGACTTCTTGTAACTGAAAGCAGATATTTCAAAAACGTCTTTTTTTTTAAGTATGGATATTTTTTATGTATTTTTAATGTTTTATTTATTATTATTATTTTATTGCCGACATACAATCATCAACTATGCTGTGTTAGAAACGCAACGCCAGGAGGATGAAAATATTATCTGTTAAACTGATTGCATTCAGCAAGAGTCCCCGTACAGTTAGATCGATCTACCGGTACACAGGTCGCTAGTTTCAATGGGTATGATACTTTTACGAGGCTAGGTACAAAAAGAGAACTTTATGCACAGTAAAATCTGATTAATTAGCCTATCCATTTTCTGTTCCCCGCGGCCCCCTTATCCAGAGATCTGTTTGGCTATTGATTTTTGCAAAATTTTATTTCTCGCGTCTGAACACATTCATAGGCTATTGTGACCTTATGATAAACAGGCAACATGATGACAGATGTGATCTAGATGCGAAACAGACGTAACCGTATCATGAAGCTTGTAAAATTGTCAGTGGGAATGTATTTATTACACAATTTCTTTTGTGCCAAAACAAACGTACCTATAGCTACAAAATAATAATAATAATAATAATAATAATATGACAAAGTAAATCTACCACATAGAAATAGGCAGGAAAAACACTCATTTGGTGTAGGGGGCCTACAAAAAGCTTATCCGCATATTAATCTTACAATCTCTGAACTGTAGCCTTTATTTTCTCATGTCACATTCCCTTAGCATGATGTATTACACAGATTCTCTGCTTTTTCCGCAACTTTCCATTCTAAGCAACTCGCTAATCTACCTGTATTAACATTTCCTTATTTGGTGATGGTGTAGTTGTGGCATTGTAAATATTTAGAAAAAACGTGCATCTTGAAAGGGATAATAACTATATTTCACAATTAAAACATTGTGAACAACTCATAGAAATATAATATATTCTGTTGTACCACAAAAACGGCAGTTATAGCTATTATTCTGATATCTGAGCTTGTCTTTAGACCACGTCAGTCGTGACCTCCATTGATGGCTATACTCTGTTATAATCTCTTAAGAGATTATAACAAAAAACCAAACTTTTTAGAAAAAAAAACAGGGACTAACTTTGGATGTAAAAATGGATTCATTAACCATTGGTATGTATGGGAAAATTGTTGTTTACTCCAGGAAAATTCATTTTTTGGCCAAAACGAAGAGTTATTATCCCTTTAAGCTCAGTATGATGTTCTAGTGCATGTCAGTATCATTGCCCGCGTCCCAAACTGACCCGTTTATATTGTCGATATGACCCCTTGTCCAAAGTTGACGGCTTTTGATACGTTCTCTTTTGTTCAGCTCTGTATGGTACTGGCCTTTTTGGTTGTCTGGGGAACTTATTTTGCTGTATATGTGTATGGTATAATATCGGTTAGCCTTTTGGGTCTCATTTTATATGAAGGAAGACATTGTAGTGCGTGTGTGTTTTTGTGCCTTCTGAAATCCAATAACACAAATATGAAAGGAAGACGACTGCTCATTATTATGAGAGAGAGAGAGAGAGAGAGAGAGAGAGAGAGAGAGATAAGTGATCTATCCACAACTTGTAAATTTTGTATAAAATACGATAAAGTGATATTTATTTTTCAATATTTGTTTTGTTAACAAGCTAGCAACATTGCCTTGATCTTATTTAAAAATGCACTGGCATAGCAATGACATTGCACATTATAAATTGCTCTGCCATGCGGAATTGGATAAATGAATATCTATACATCAATGGCTATAAATGTTTACGCACTTTGTATAGACACTGCATCTATATATGAATGCCAGTTTATCAGCCTCAGTTGTTAGGAAGGTAAACTAAGGTCGTCGCTCCTGCTGAAAAAGGACAGTGAACGTATAATGAAAAAACGGCGTTGACCAATTTTGAGTTAGTTGTGCATAAAAAAACACAAGATGATAAAGGTAACTTACTCGTTGTAGACTTAACTATTAATGACTGTCGAGTCACGCTATTAAACATTTATGGTCCAAATGAGGATTATCCAGAATTCTTTGATAAGGTTAGGGAATCCATACTTGAATTTGCAAATACAAACATTATAGTGTGTGGAGATCTTAATATCGCAATGGATCCAATTTTAGATACTTTTAATTACAATAGGAATAATAACCCAAGAGCTAGAAAAAAATTAATTGAAACTATGGATGAATTGGATCTGGTAGATTACTACAGAGTTATAAATCCTTCCAAAAGAGCATACACATGGCACAAAAAGAACCCAGTTAAACATGGTAGGCTTGATTATATACTAATATCAAATAACCTCTCAAATCTTGTCACGGATATCTCAATTAAAGCGGGTTACAAATCAGATCACTCGTCAGTTGTCTTAGAATTAAAATTTAATGATTTCGTTAGGGGACCCGGTCTGTGGAAATTCAATTGTTCTCTTCTAACCGACAGAGAGTTTGTTGACAAAGTAAAACTAACCATTAAAAGAATAAAAAATCAATATGCCAATATCTTGTATAAAGTATCCATAATTGATTGTATTCCAGAAGAAGACCTGCAATTATCCATATCCGATAGCCTATTTTTGGAAGTACTACTAATGGAAATAAGGGGGGTAACTATATCACATGCAAGTGCTAAGAAAAAAGATAAGAATAAGAAGGAAAAGGAACTTATTGATGAGATACAAAAACTTAAAGATGACAATGACGCAGGAAATTTAGTACATAATGGCATCTTGGAAGAAAAAATACAATCACTAGAAACATTAAGGAAAGAGAAACTACGGGGAAGCATGATAAGATCACGCGCACAATGGGTTGACGAGGGGGAGAAACCGACGCAATATTTTTGTGGTTTAGAGTCCAGAAACTTTCTGAATAAAACTATTCAGGTGCTAGATATAGATGGAAAAGGAACAGTCTACGAACAGTCAGAAATCCTTAAGGAGGTGAAGCTTTTCTATGAAAATTTGTATTCAAGCAAAGAAAATGAAATAGATGACGTAGACCTCAGTAATGTACTAGAACCGTATTCCTTTAATAAATTGGACAATGTTACTGCTCACGAATTAGATCAAGAATTTACATTAACTGAAATCCTAAGTGTTATTAAATCAATGAAGAATAACAAGTCCCCAGGAAGTGATGGCTTTTCAGCC